TTCAGTCGCATTTATACCAATACTCGAAGCACCTATGAGATTGTTGTCAACATTCGCCATCTCTTCACCATGATCAGTCCAAATGTAGTAGTTCGACATGAACCCATACTTGAAAAGGTGAAGCCTCACAGTATGAACACCATCAATCTTTGTGGACTGACATTTAGCACATGGACATCTAAGTTTCCCTTCATTAACATAGCTTTGTTGTTGACAAGCTATTGTTATAAACTCTTCAACCCCGTGTACAAAAGATTCCTTTAAACCTCTTCTCCCCGTATACATTCTATCATACATCCATCGACGACTTGCTAGAATAGAATTCATGTTCTGTGTATTTATAACAAATATATTAGAACATGGAAAGACAAAGGTGTTGGAATGGAATTCATCTTCTGTATATTTATAACATTCAAATATATTGTCATATGTGATGTTGTGTATTTTACTCGTATTTTAGCACTTTAATTCACAAGAATTCATAGCATAATCATGCATATCTTTCATTCTGGTTGGAGAACGGCCCGTTCTCCAAGCAGAACATCCCGTTCTCCAAGCAGAACATCCCGTTCTCCAAGCAGAACGATCCATTTTGCTTGGAGAACGGCCTGTTCTAAATGGAGAACGACCCGTTCTGAATGTCTTCCCTTCATAGTAGATATCTATTTCATCACTTTTGTGAGTCCGGATAAAATTGATTATTCACACTCCTCATACATACTTACATACATATGTATGTGTGTGTGTACACACACACATACACATTAATATCTAAAGAAAGACTAAAAACTTTACATATTTTAACTAAAAATAATGTTTAGTTAATATAATTCTTTTGCATATTATTTTTAAAGAACTAACTACCTACATTGGTGATGATTGTGCATTTTTGTATCTTAATTATACAATATCTTTTATAACTAATTATATATTAGTTTAGCCAATTTTAGTAGTCAGTGGAGATTGTATTCACTTTGCATACTTGAATTTCAAGTACATAGGGTCTAAACTCATTATTTTGACTTTATTATTAAGCTTTAGCCTTTGATAAGTTGTAGGTAGTTTGCATCAATGGAAATTCCCGAGAATCGAAGGTGGATGTATAATAGATTGGATGCTACTAAACGTTTGAAGGTTGAGTTTGTAAATGGAGTAGCTGAGTTCCTAGAGTTTGTTACTAGTCAGGAGAAATGGCATAACCAAGGCAATGTCACGAGATGTCCTTGTGTCAAATGCAAATGTAAAACTTTCAGGACTATGAAAGAAGTTTTTGGCATGTTAATGACAAAGGATTCATGCCTAATTATTATTGTCGTTAAGAGTGTGGATTCATCCATTCCTAGTCGTTTCTCCTGTTCCACTTGGATTTCACAGTTACACAACACGACTTTATCTTCTTTGGACAGGAATTGGTGTCTTGAAAACTCTTTATGCATGGCTTGCTTCCATTACTTTCGACTAACGCACATAAGTTAATTTCTATTTTTATTCTCATTTATTCTTTTACAAGGAGGGATATGTTCTAAATGAATGTAATGCAGAATGTAGAGAAAGTTGAGAATAATAAATATCAGTCTCATTGATTTGTTTATTTGTGAATGCTCAAATAGATTTTGACAGTATTAAGCGAGAATGTTCTACAACTGCAAGAGTCTACTCATGTTAGGTAACTTTTATTTTTGTCAAAGGTTAATTACACAACAAAGATGCACTACTAAGAATAACTCCCTAAAATCCTATCAAACCAAATCCCTATACTTTAGAAGTGGATCATTAAAAATAGTAGGACTAATATCTTTATTGTGGGCTAGACCTGTAATACAATCGGCTACTGAATTTGCTGCATGAATCGCATGAATAATATTAATACACGAATACACATTTTACGTCGGTTATTTTAGGGATTTTACGTCAGTAAAAGCTCCAACGTAGAAGTGGGAGACGTAAATTTACGTCAGGGTGCGAAAACCGACGTAAATTTACGTCGGACATTACAAGGTCTGACGTAAAAAGTTGTGAAAAATTTAAAAAAAAAAAGAAGAAAAACGATTTCAATCAGAACGGGACGTTCTGGTTGGAGAACGGCCCGTTCTCCAAGCAGAACATCCCGTTCTCCAAGCAGAACATCCCGTTCTCCAAGCAGAACATCCCGTTCTCCAAGCAGAACGATCCATTTTGCTTGGAGAACGGCCTGTTCTAAATGGAGAACGACCCGTTCTGAATGGAGAACGGCTCGTTCTCCAAGCAGAACGACCTGTTCTGCAACCTGGACTTGGCCACTTCCTTCTCCAGCTTCAAAAACTTAGAATGCAACGCATAAAAACTTAGAATTGCTAAAAGATCTGCCAAAATACTTCACAAATACACCCGTAAGTGAACCTAGGAACAACTATTTTAAACAGAACCTTTTAATTAAGGGCAATAACTCCATTTCCTATTTCGTAACACGACTACACCAAAAAATTACAAGGTTCAAAATGCAAGAAGAAGTAAAACCACCAAACATCACCAACAACAACCCTAGAATATCACAAGCAACAAGAACAGAGTGCAAGTCAAGAAAGAAGCATATGCTATGACGCTACCGCTATCGCTCCAAAAATTAGTACGAATATGATTTTGCTCCAGATTTGCTCCAGGTGGATCCCAAGCTTATCCAGGAGCAACCATGATTTGAGGAGGCGCGGGAGAAGCTTATCCAGATTTGAAATCTCCACTGCGTGAACCTCCTTTTAATTAATGGGTGTGTATTATTTACGTCGTCCTTAAAGGGGTCCGACGTAAATAATTTAACTAAAATTACGAACCATGCCACCGCGTTTTTATTACGTCGAGTGTTTCTATGTACGACGTAAAATGCGTGACGTAGTATCCTAATTTTTCACTAGTGATATTCACATTCTATATCTTCATAAACTTTTTGGATATGATAGATATCTCATTATTCATTGAGTCTTCTGATTTTTTTTTCTTGAGTTGTTGTACTTAGACTTTACTTTCAAAATTTGTCATAGGTTTTTACATTCCCTAAAAAACAAAGTCAAAAAATAAGGCAAGGGTAGAGGCTTCGATCTGTGAAGCTTACTTAGTTGAGGAAACATCAACCTTTGCTTCCTACTACTATCCTTCTGAAATTGATACAAGAGGGACCAGAATGCCTAGTAATGTTGATGTAGATGAAGGTTCTTTGTCTACTCCTTGTTTATCAATTTTTAACTACCCAGGTAAAGCGAGTGGAAAATCTACAAAATATTTCTTGGACCAACTAGACCTCAAAGCTGCTCATTTGTATGTTCTTCAAAATTGTGAAGAGGTTGAGCCATATTTAGAGTAAGATAATGTTCAGTCTTTACATAACATCCACATAAATGTTAATGTTGTCATATTGTGTAGTTTGATTGATTTGTTTTTTACCATTCTAGTATTTATGTCAAATATTTAAGGAAACTCAACCCCACTGCTTCAGACGCTCAAGTTGGTCAGGAAATTTCATCAAATTTTCCTACATGGTTCAAAGAATATGTAGGTTAACATCTAGTAAGTTATTAAAATTTTATTTTCCCTTAATATATAACATTAATTGTTACATTTTTTAGGTTCTAAATTTGGAAAATAATGTTCAAGATCCACTATTGCCTAATTTAGCATGGGGGCCCAAGCTAAAGGTTGAATCATGGCCTATTTACACTATAAATGGATATAAATTCCACACTCTTCTTTGGGGTCAAGGCATGAATTCATCTAATTGTGGTGTTTGGGTACGAGGAACTAGTGGTCAATTAGAATCTAACTTTTATGGAAAATTGACTGATATTATTCAATTGGAGTATATTGGCTTACCAATAATGAAACTAATACTTTTCAAGTGTGATTGGTTTGATAATACTCCTAATATCGAAATAAGAGTAAATGATAAGTATGAGGTTGTTGAGGTAAGGCAATCAAGGAGGTATAATAAGGCTTATGACCCATTCATACTTGCACAACAAGCTGAGCAAGTTTACTTCACACCATATCCTGAAGGACATAATGATTGGCTGGCCATAATTAAGACAAAGGCTCGTAGTAGAATAAATGATAATATATTAATTCAAACTGAGCAAGAGGTTCCATACCAGGATGATGAGGTTGTAGGGCTTCAAGTCATGTTACATATTGACTCAGATGTCATTGATGATTCTCTAGTTGATAATGATGTTGGTGGAGAAGAAGTAGATATGCAATCATTTGATCAACCAGACATGGTGGATGAATTTATTGAAGATAAATACATATCAAGTGAGGATGATAATGATGATGAGAATGAGAGTGATTTCAATGATACAGATGAACCTTAGGTAATTTATACATTAAATAATTATTTGTATAATTCTTTTGATGTGTAGAATGACTTAAATATAATTTTATGTGTAGAACATCTATTTTGTTGTTATATGATTTAAAGTTTAAATTTATTCTTAATAATTTGAATTATTTGTTTATTACAAGTTTATTGGATGAAAAAATAACATTTGCTCTTAAATGTGATATATGTAACAATTTCTACATTCAGATGGCAGATAGAGGTAAAGGTAGAAGTAGAGGTGGTGGTCGTAAAGCACCTCGTGGTCGAGGTCATGGTGGTGTTGGCCTTCACAACAATTCATGAAGAACCAATTCCCACCTTCGTAGGCGAATCAATTCCTAATACTCATTCTAGACAGGACATACCTTTAACAGAAGAATGTTCATTGACTCCACAATACCCACCTCCTACCATTCCTGAGTTTGGGGATTCATCTGACCAAAGGTTTTGGCTATCCTTGAAAGGCAAAGAGTACGTACATTTTAATTTAAAGATTATTTTTCTAATATAACATTGTTTAAATGTGATATTGACAATATCTTTTTTAATAGATTTGTTCCTGCAAAAGGCCCTGCTGATGTCATTTCAGGGATCTTTAAACAAAAATTTGAGGGCGTGGCCCACTTGGAAGGTTGTGGATGAATCAGTTCGGGACATGTGGTTCGGAGAGTTTCAGGTAATTAAATTTTGTTTAATTTAAAATGTGTTGCATGTAGTTTTTAGTATGTTCCCTAATTCATTTTTAATGCAGAAAGAGTATAAGTGAGATCCACAACATGATCGGGCCATACGAAAGACTTTTGAGCATAAAGGATCAACTCTTCTGAAAAATGCTATACATAAGGTTAGACTAGGTGTCGATAAGGGAAATTGGATCCCTGAAAATTCTCGATCTATTTTGGATCAACATTGGGCTTCTGAAAAATTCCAAAACAAAAGTAATACTGCTAAAGGGAATCGGGCTGTAGAGAATGGAGCAACAGCCTACACTGGTGGCTCCATATCTGCAGGAGCCCACTTTGAAAAATTGGTAAGTTTATTTCATTTTTTATTTATATTTAGTTCAATTTAATATAATTGATTGGTTGAATTGTAATATTTAAATTTATATAGGCGAAGGAGCAAAATCGTCCCCCTACTGTTTTGGAATTAGTGGAAAAGACAAAAAAACTTAAGACTGGAGAATGGGTCAGTGATAAAGCCCACAACATTGTTGTAAGTTCCTCTCCATGTTCTGTTTTATTTTGTAATTTTTGTTGATTTTCCTTTTTGTTTGTGATCAATTTTGTCTTGTGATGTTACTGTTGCTGTGTGTGACTGTTGTTACATTTTGTTAATCGTCACTGATCTTGTTCACTTATTTTAATTCTATGGTATATTTGTTTTTGTGGCCACTTCATTCTAGAAACCACCTTTGCTTGTGGTTTTCTCATCAACCTTTTTTTTTTTCAATGCAAAAACCTTGCTCGTGTTTGACAATAACAAAAAAGAGAGGATTTTTGGAGCTTGCATTAGAATAATTTGTAAAAGATCAATCTTGACAAATGGAGAAATTTGCATATTAAGTTGGTCCATCACGCCTGCAACTACCTGTTCCAGTAGAATTAATGCTAGTTAAAATGAATTAAAATATATCTGTATTTATTTATTATGACAATTAGAAAAAAGCCACTTATCTACCTCAAACTGAATCTTAGAATATGAAAACATAAAAAATTCTCAAAGAAAATAGATAAGGATTCATGATTTGAAATGTCATCTACATTAAGAAATTGGACCACAGAGGAATTCAGCAACATGCTGAAAAAGAGTTGAGTGATTGCTTAATTTCTTTTTCTTTTTTTTAAAGGAAAAAAGAGCACCATGATTGTATTTTTAACATTGTTCTCATGGAATGCAAGTAATATGCACACCAGTATTCTGCATGTGCGTGTGTTTAATTTTATAATATAAAGCCCGTAACAAACAACTTCCTTGAAATCCAAATGAATGGAATTGTAGTCTGGGTGTTTGACACTACAAGTCATAATACAGACAACTTTAAGACATGTACTTATCTCTACCATATGGTACAACGTTTTCTTTTTTAACAACAGTAACATCAGTGTAAACTTAAACAGAAAAAAACTATAAAAACAATGAAAAGAAAACATCTTCTATAATAAAGGATTCAGATCATTTACCTTATCTACAAACCCATGTATGACTAAACAGGCTTTTTTATCCTTTGGAGTTTTCTGTGGAGTTCAAACATTTATAGTTTAGATGTTTACCATAATGAACAATCATATAAGTATGATAGATAAAAAACTCTGAAACATAATAGTTAGACAACTTGTTCATGGATGGAGTTGATTCATAATACAATAAATACTTTACTTTGATAAAATCGTAGTTCTAGCAACAATCATCTTCTTCCGGGTTTCAAAAATTAACCTTGCTCATGATTGATGTCGATTTTTATTGGTCGAAACATATTAGAAATTACTATTTTTTTTAGTATTGTATCTATAATTTGTGATTCTGATTAGTGGTAAAATTAACTAAAATTTATGATTTTGAATCAATAATTAAAAGAGTGTTAGAGTCAGTGTTCTCTTCCCAATTAATTTTATAACTCCAAGAAGGGTTTAAATATATCAGTTGTGGATTTTGTTGTCTTGGAATTATTTGCTGAATTATTTGCTGTAAAATAATAATTATTTGCTGAATTAAAATCAAAGAATATGTTGTCTTGAAATTTTTGTTGAAATAATATTTTTTATTTTTTTAGGAGAAATATAAGGAGCGTCTAATTGAAGTCAAGCAACAAGATACACAGGATGACACAGAGGGCTCTGCTTCTACTTGTATTAGTGATAATGAAGTTTATTTGCAGGTGGTTAAAAAGAATACGAAGGGGAACTTGTATGGGCTTGCTGGATTGACTGATGATTTCATTTGCTCAACACTTCCACAATCTTCTATGTCACATCCATCACCAGTCACTGCAGGGATGATAGAAAAAATGCAAAATAGGATAACTAAATTAAATGTTGAGCTTGCTGCAAAGGAAGCAAAGGAAAAAGCATTGGAAGAACATATACGACGGCATGATGAGCAGATGCAGTATATACTACGTCATCTCAACATTGACCCTTTAAGGCCAACCCCTCCTCCACCGAGTACTTCCCTAGATGATCCTGACCATGGTGTTGATGATGCTCTTGATGAGATAGCAGAAGACCCTTAATTAAGCTTCTTTATTTTACTTGTTTCAGGATATTTTATTGTATTTCACTATTACTTTGTTGAAGTTTAAACGTTTTATGTTATTATTGTGTTTTTAGCATACTATATTGACATACTTATATTTTATTTAGTTTTCACTATAATATAAATTTACATCGACGAGATTATGTCTTTTAGTATGTTCTAGTTTATTATTATAAATTGTGTAATAAATATATTTTTAATTTCCTATTTGTTAACAGGTATAAATTTATAATTTAAAAAGAATTTAAAAATACTGGTTAGCATTAGTGACCGAAATAGTGACCAAGATGAATTGTTGCTATTTCAAGTGTTTAGCGACCAAAAGAATTCGTAGCTAATTCAAGTTTTTAGCGACCGAAATAATTCGTAGCTAATTCAAGTTTTTAGCGATTGAAATAGCGACCAAAATAATTAGTAGCTAATTCAAGTTTTTAGCAATCGAAATAGCGACCGAATTGATTCAAGTTTTTAGCGATCGAAATAGCGACCAAATTTATTCGTAGCTATTTCACATTTTTTGCTACTGATTTAGCGATCGATTTTAAAAATCTTTTTTAAAATAAATAAAAAAATTTAGCGACGGAAATTGCAACCAAAACATTCGGTCGCAAAATTGGTCTCGAGAAGTTAGGAGACCAATATCTTAGCGACGGATTATGAATGTATAGCGACGGATTATTTCGGTCGCTACTTTGTGACGGAAAAAATTTCGGTCGCTATTATCAACAGCGACTAGGGTTTTAGCGACGGATTTTTTCGGTCGCTATTTCGGTCGCTGATCGTAACAACGACTGAAATAACCTAAATAGCGACCGATTTTGGTGGTCGCTAAAATTTGATTTTTTTGTAGTGACACACACACACACACACTCACACATACACACACACATATATATGTACATAATACATATACAAGAATGAAAGTGGACCTTTCATTATGACTATAACTTTTTTATTCCTAGGAATAAAATGTTCTAGAGACAATATGAATAATACTGTTACATTTGGGGGCCAAGCATTTTCAATGGGTACACTTTATAATCAACAAAATCCATTTGTAACGACTCAACATGTCGGTACGCTTGATATATATATATATATATATATATATATATATATCCATCCACTGCATCAAACACATGTCACAACCATCACAATGCAATTTGAGTAAAGGATTTATTAGGAAATTGCTTATTAAAAAGGTGACAGAGTGGAATGTGAAATGAACAAAACATACGTTTTCTTACTAGTATCTTTAGCAGCTCTGGATTTCCAACCATCACAATGCAATGAAGAACCCCAATGCATGCGATAACAAGTGTTGAGCTCAATGACAGGCTTCCCACTCCAATCCCCTTTAAGCTTGGGATTGAAATGCAAGACCCTAGCTGGGTCTTCAGCCTCCACGGTCTCCAACCCCTACAACTCCATCACGAACTGACATGTCCTCCGTTGCGCCCTCAACGGCTTCCCAACCACCATAACGTGGGAGCCCAACGTGAGGCCACAGGGAATGAGCATGACACTCCCGCGGCCCAGAAACTCAGGCCCAGACACGGAGACAAAGTGGGGGCGGCGGGAGGCCAAGATCGGTTCTGGGGCTTCCAAATGAGGCTTGGCGATTGTAGGTCCTCCCAAACGGCCTTCCCCGCATGACAAGCAGATTGGTAGAGCTCCGAATCGAATGCGGCGTCGTTTAGCAGCAATCAGTGTCGAACAGAAAAGATGAGAATAGGCGAAGGCCTTGGAGGCGACGAAGAGGTTGTCGTCAGTGCGAAGGAAGCGGCGGTGGCAGCGTGGGTTAGCGTCGTTGCTTGAGATGGAGAAGCCCTAATTATGAGATGAAAGGGTATACAGGGCACATATCAAAGTCTCAATTTCTACATCGGTCAATAATAAAACCGATGTAGAATTGCTCATATTTACATCGTTTCTTCCCTCAACCGATGTAAATATGTTTACATTTTCTATTTATTTACAAGTTTGCCACCGCGTTTATGATTTACATCGGTTCTAATATAACCGATGTAAATAAAACGATGTAGAACAGTAATTTTCTAGTAGTGAAGGTGGCCAGGTGGGTTCAGCTAGTGACATAACATAAATAAAATTGCATCCACGTAGTGACATAACATAGGGATGGCTAACAAATTGACATTGTGGTGAGTAAGAAAATTAGATGATCTACATTTTCATGAAAATAATTCGGCCAACCCTGCCCACCAAAAATAAAAATGCGAATTCTACATTTTTATACCAATAAAAAAAAATACATCAAATATTTTTAATGGAGTTTAAGAACAAAAATACAACTTATTTGTTTTACCCTTGCTAGTGATAAGCATTGCTTAAAGGTATATATGTTATTTTCACGTGTAAGGTTCTCGCAAAGCTGTCGGCAGCACTAGTTTAGACTGAACTTCGCTTAATGGAGAGTAATAATATTCAACCATGTCCACTGATATTTCCTTTCAAACTAGGTGGATCTCACTGCAAATTTAGGAATAAAATGCTTCAGATAAATTTATACCAGTTGTCACTGGTTCAAAATTTACCTTCTCCTTCGAAACAAGCTCTTGATAGTCATGCTGAGTTCTGAAGGTTCGGTATGCACTTAAAATGCCTAAGCTAAAAAGTTCAACAATATAGCTCCGGGACACATGCAAGTTCCACAAAAAAAATATAAAATGCAATGAAATGAAAATAATAGAAAACAAAAAGATGATCGGGAGAGAAGAAGGAAAGGAATAATATGAGAATGAATATTTCTCTCTCACTATGAAACCAATACAAAAGGTCTGAATATATACAAGCAGTACACCTTTTCTAGGCTTAACCGTAAAGCAAAATATCAAAGCAATGAACTAATAAAAATAAGACACCTGTACAAAAAGATCAGGAAAGAATAAAAAGATATATATGGTTAATTTTGGTAAAATTTATAATAATTTTTTAAATAACAATTAAATATGTAAATTAAGAGATATATTGTTAAACTATAGCATAAGGGAAAAAATGTTTATAAAAAGTGAAGGTGGTGTAATATTTACATCTTTTAGGGGATGTTAGTATAGAAGGTGTTTTGGTGATAATTTTTTTTTGTATTGGAAGTTAATGGAACTTTAACGAAAAATTTAAAAAATGAATAAAGTACATATTAGAATTTGTCAAGGGAGGGAACTCCAATTTTTAACATAAGAGGGAAAGGTAGTGTAATATTTGTATTTCTCAAGAGATAAGAGTGTAATTTACTCTAAATAAAATTAACATAGAAACCACTTTCAACTTAAAACAACCTATTAATTCATTTCACAACTTACAACTAATCATTAAAACAACATAAACAACCAAGTAATAATTACCTACCATCAAATTCAACATACAAGAAGAATCTATCACAAACTCAACATCATTAGGTCTTAAGTTTTTCTCCCCCTTAAAACCCCAACTTCACCACTTAAACAACATCATCAAATATCAATGTAACATCTCACTTTTCTAAAAAAATATTAATAAATATTTTCTAATTAATTAATTAGAGAATAAAATATTCTAAGTGATTTGATAATATAATAATTGTTAATTATCTTTTTAAATTCAAATATGTGAAGTGTGACACCCTCTACCCCAACATATATATACAGTAATTATAAAAAAAATAAAATTTTTCATCATTAAAAAAACCAAATTTCTAACCACATAAGGGTAAATAGTTCACATTCATAAACTTTATCCAAATAACATGCCGGTAAAATTACAAAGAAATAAAACTGTGCACCTTTTCTAGGCTTAACCGTAAAGCAAAATATCAAAGCAATGAACTAATAAAAATAAGACACCTGTACAAAAAGATCAGGAAAGAATAACAAAAAAGATCACAGTTTGTTTTTATCAGAAAAGACAAAATAGCAAATTCCTATTAGCTTCCTTCTAGAAGCTTGTATCCATATCCTTTAATACCCCCCGCAAGCTGGGGAGCAAATGTTGATGAGACCCAGCTTGGAACAAATACTCTTGAAAGATTGAGGACTTAAGGCCTTGGTATAGATGTCTGGTAGGTGCTCAGTGGTGGAAATGGGAAGCAAATGAATGAGACCCTTCTTCAATTTTTCCCTGACAATATGGCAGTCTATTTCTATGTGTTTCGTGCGCTCATGAAACACTGGGTTTGCTGCAATGTATCTAGCTGAGTCATTGTCACAGTACAAAAGAGATGGTTGCTCAAAAAAAACTTTGAAATCTTGAAGAAGATAAGTTAGCCATTGAATTTCACATGTAACAGCAGCCATTGCTCTATATTCAGCTTCACAAGAACTCTTTGATATTGTTCTTTGCTTCTTTGATTTCCAAGATACGAGGGAATTTCCAAGATACACACTAAAACCAGTCACTGATTGTCTTGAATCACTGCAAGTGCCCCAATCACTATCACAAAAGGCTTTTAGATGAGCAGAATTGCTGGAGGAGAAAAACAAACCAAGACTTGGGGCTCCTTTAATATATCTAAGAATTCTAATTGCTGCAGTATAATGAGCTATTGTAGGTTTAGCAAGAAACTGAGAGAGTTGCTGCACAGAAAAGGTGATGTCATGTCTAGTATTAGTGAGATACATAAGCCTTCCAATCAATCTTCTATATGCTTGAACATCTGTGAAAGATGCACTTCCAGTAGAAGACAATTTGGCAACATTATCAATTGGAGTGACTGCAGGTTTGCATGCTAAAAGACCTGCATCTGTCAGTAATTCCAGTGCATATTTCCTTTGATTCACCATTATCCCTTTCTTGCTTCTTGCTACCTCAAGACCAAGAAAATATCTCAAATCCCCAAGATCCTTGATCTTGAATGTCTCATTCAAGGCTTGTTTGATTCGATCAATCTCTTCTTTATCATTTCCTGCCAATATTATATCATCTACATACACCAATAATGCTGTAAAAGACCCTTCAGAAGAATTAATGAACAAGGAATGATCATTCATAGATTGTGTGTATCCAGCAGAAAGCAAAAAAGATGATAATTTGGCAAACCATTCTCTGCTAGCTTGCTTAAGGCCATATAAAGCCTTTTGTAATTTACAAACTTGTCCTGGTTGAATAGAAGTCAATCCAGGAGGAGCAACCATGTATACATCTTCTTTCAACTCTCCCCCCGCAAGCTGGGGAGCAAATGTTGATGAGACCCAGCTTGGAACAAATACTCTTGAAAGATTGAGGACTTAAGGCCTTGGTATAGATGTCTGGTAGGTGCTCAGTGGTGGAAATGGGAAGCAAATGAATGAGACCCTTCTTCAATTTTTCCCTGACAATATGGCAGTCTATTTCTATGTGTTTCGTGCGCTCATGAAACACTGGGTTTGCTGCAATGTATCTAGCTGAGTCATTGTCATAGGACAAAAGAGATGGTTGCTCAAAAAAAACTTTGAAATCTTGAAGAAGATAAGTTAGCCATTGAATTTCACATGTAACAGCAACCATTGCTCTATATTCAGCTTCACAAGAACTCTTTGATATTGTTCTTTGCTTCTTTGATTTCCAAGATACGAGGGAATTTCCAAGATACACACTAAAACCAGTCACTGATTGTCTTGAATCACTGCAAGTGCCCCAATCACTATCACAAAAGGCTTTTAGATGAGTAGAATTGCTGGAGGAGAAAAACAAACCAAGACTTGGGGCTCCTTTAATATATCTAAGAATTCTAATTGCTGCAGTATAATGAGCTATTGTAGGTTTAGCAAGAAACTGAGAGGGCACTTGCAGTGATTCAAGACAATCAGTGACTGGTTTTAGTGTGTATCTTGGAAATTCCCTCGTATCTTGGAAATCAAAGAAGCAAAGAACAATATCAAAGAGTTCTTGTGAAGCTGAATATAGAGCAATGGTTGCTGTTACATGTGAAATTCAATGGCTAACTTATCTTCTTCAAGATTTCAAAGTTTTTTTTGAGCAATACAAATGAGGCAGATAGGGTTAACACTACCTGATTCATTTCTTAAAATTAATATATTGGGCTGGGTCAACCCAACCCATTTTCCTTCTCTTCTAACCCACTTCTCTTTTTCCTCAAAATAATTAAATAAAATAAATACATGTATATTACAAGAGTGGCAAAAGTGGGTCGGCCCACTTAGTGATAATAGTAACCCAAATTAACAACTCTTACCTTATCGTTGGTCCACTCGATGATTATGGGCTAAAAATTTTGACTTGTCCGCCCAAAATTGAAAAGAAAAAGAAAAAGAACATTAAAGATTTGAATTTTAATTCTAACCTAAATTAATAAATTTAGTTAAATATTTTAAAGTATATTAATAATTTATTATGTCTAGTCTAAAACAAAATTTTCTTATCACATTATTTAGAAAAAAATAACTATTTTAGACTTAAGTTTATAATCTATTATGTTTAAGGTTTTCTTCCCAATGTTAGAGTAACTTTTAGGCACCTAGCAAAAATTTTATTGACAATTGTTGGTTATACATTGATATGTAGTAGTCAAATTTCAAACGCATGCGCACACACATATAAGGATTGTATCTAGTGAGAGGAGTTTCATATTATGAGATGTGAGAAACTTAAGTAATAACCTTTAAAATAAAATTAGCAAATTGAATTGAACTTTCAATTATTATTTTTTAATTAATTACCATTTTCATATAACAATGGCATATCATCACGGTCACCATCTCATTATCACCACAACTGCTACCACTGCCATCTTTGTTGCCACATGGTGGAAACGGTGGATGGTGGTTGTAGTAAGTGTTAGAGCGATGATAATAATGGTGATTGTGATTGTGATGATGATGAAAGCAGTGACAATGATTGGTAGTGGAGATGATGATAACAGTGGTGGTAGGGGGAGGATAATGCTTGAAGTGACAATGAAAGTATTACAATGGTGGTGGTGATGGTGGTTGTCGATTGCTTCCACCACTACTATTGTCATCATGCCACGTGGTTGCGACAACAAGTAGAGTAGTAATGATGGTGGTGATAGTGATGGTGATTACAATGATAATGATTGTCATGTGAAAGAGTAATTATCACTTTATTTTAACATGATATTCAAAATAAATATAAATATCCATTATTAGATAACATATATAAGAAAATCCAAATAATTTAAAATTTGATATGCATGATTATGAGTATAATATCACCAAATACAACAATTGGGTTGATATGGTTGAATCGTTAATATATAATGTAGAACATGAATTATTAAGTAGAGTAAGTTTAGTTAGACTTATTTTTTAAATAAGTAGATCCCTTCTTATATATATTGAAAGGTTGTGATTAAAACACTTATTAAATTTTATCGTAGTTTCTCATTTATCAAATTAATCTTCCAAACTTTCTTACTCACACTCACTTTCTCACCATTGTTGCCAATACCATCGCTGTTACCACAACCATCGCCACCACTATTACAACCAACATACCCTTTATTTATTTATTTTATAAATGCACCTCATTACTCTCATTTTTTTTCTTCAAAATATGCTTTTAATTAATTTCCTTTTTTTAAAAAAAAACTCTTTTAAGTTATTTTTATCATTCACCCATTTCCTTCATCCTCCTCCTTTTTCTTCTTTTTCTTTATTTGTTTTTCTTTCTTGTCTTTTAATTTTTGATTTCTTTCTCCAACAATCAAAAGAGTTACACCTTATCTTTGTATTTTTTCAAATCCAATTTTCCACTTTTAACTTTATCATTATGTAAATTCTAATTTCTCACTTTATCTTTATTGTTCTCTACATTAAATATAAGGTATGACTTATACACTATAGATAATTAGTCAAGTAAACAAGAAGTAACTTGGTGAATTTTTTTATCTAAAGATTTTCGTTCACAAGGTATGATTTCATTGATTATAGAGTGAATTTTTTTTATTCAAACTTTTGAAAAGTACTTTTTAAAAATTGCACTTCTAGAAGCTACTTTATGAATAATAAATTTAATGTTTTGAAAAAGATTCCCTAAAAGTATATTGTTTTAAACTTTTGAAAAGTATTTTTTTTAAAATATTAAATTTATTATTTCGGAAAGTATTTTATGAAAGTATGAACATATTTTTGAAAAGTACTGTTTCAAAAACTACCTTCTAGAATTATGCTTTTTCATACTTTTTAATAAGGATGTCAAATAAATCCGTACTCGAGGATAATGTCCAAACTTGTCCCAACTTTGACATATAGTAAATAATTTGATCGGGGATGAGCAATACCTAATTAATTAAATCGAGTTCGAGTTCGAGGATGGGTATATACATACCTGCATCATACACATACTCGTATCTGCTTGAAATTTTTAGAAACTTAATTTATTTTTTTAGAAATTATTTAACATTTATGTAATTCTTATTCTATATTTAATTTATATCAAATAAAACTTAATTAATGTAATTTTGTAATTTCTATTTCATGTTAAAATTCATACTTTTATATTTTTTTTTGTAAAAAATAATATTAATTATTTTTTTTGATGGATACGAGCAAGTATGGGTATACTCAATATCCAATGAATAAGGGAATGAGAACAAAAATTTCATACCCATCTAATATGAGGATGAGGATGAATATAGGATATGGGAATGAAGACGAGGATGGGGATAAAAAAAACTCATACCCGTCTGCCCTATACCATCCCTACTTTTGAAGACAGAGTTTGTGATGTCAAGAAAATAAGGAATGTAAATAAAATTGAAAGATATTTTAGAAGAAAAATAGGGAGAGTAATGGATGTGTATTATAAATAAAGGGAGGTGTATTAAGCAAAAGGCCTAATTTTATTCATTGACCAATATTTACTTTGACTATTTGTCATTTGATTTCAATGAAATATAATTTATTTATTAATATTTTTTTATTAGGAAATACTTGAATAGCCTAATTAGTTGAAGATTTGTTGTATTATTTTTTTCTCTACTTAAAAACTAATTATGTTTATCCAAATGTTAAAAAATAATGTAAAAAAAACTAATTATATTTATCCGAATATAAATAAGTTAATATAAAAACATATATATTTTAAATATGCATGGAAATGAGAAAATGACCTTATGTTAATGTGCTAGTATTTTAGTGGTGTATAGTAAATTTATTAACAAGTATAATAATTATTTTAAATGTTATATTTAAAATACATTTTAGTTGTTTCATAGGATAAAAATCTTTATACCAATATATAAAAAATTAAGCTCTAGGTGTAAAAATAAAATTCTTTAAATAATATATTTTTTCTTAAAAATTTTACTTAGCAAAAAATAAAAATCATAAAAATAAAAGTTGAAATAGTCATTCAAGATATGCTTCATTTTTATTTTTTTTGAAGGATGCTTCATTTTTATTAGTGGACATGACTTTTGTTTTTAATGATATTAGTACGAAATATTCGGATAAACATACATAAAAATAAGTATTTTTTTCTTTTAACATACTTCTTTCACTACTAAAACTAAAATTGGAATTCTTAGTCAACTTAATTAAAGAGAGAGAAATCGCTATAATTCATGTTAGCAGGTTCGGATTATGAGATAATCAGCATAAGCACACTAGGTTTGAATTCTAGATCATTTACAAGGAAAGATTCGATTTTTATTATTAAATGATTCTTTCTTCACTGTGGAAGAAACAATAAAATAGTTGAGTTGGTCCACACCTTTTTCTCATACATTGAACCATCATGGTTCTTCCGCTGTTGTCCTTTTAGTATTAAAGCGTGTATATATAGCGTGGTCACAAGGAAACTTGCTCATAACACAAACCAGCCCTTGTCTTTTGTGCTTCGCTCTTTTTCTTCGTCTTTCCCCCTTGTTTCGTTGTGGTGCTTTTTTCACTCCTCGGTTAGTGAGGATGTGCTGTTTTCTGTTGGTCTATGTTTCGGGATTCGCGGCTTGATTTCGAGGAAAAGGTCCAATCTTGGCTTCTGGGTTGTCAGGTTTTCTGCAGATTTTCATCAGAGAAGTTCCTGAGTTTCCTCACTGGTGAGCCTCTAAAGGGGTTTTGGCTTTTCTTTTGAATCTTTATTGAACATTTGGTTTTTGTTTTGTTGGTGGGTCCCTCTATTGTGTTGTGAGATTTTTGTATGTGGGTTGGGAGTGCTGGTGTATGAAATGATTATTGGGTAAGGGTTTTAGTTTGATTTGGGTGCCCTTTTAGCTCGAGGATCTAGAGAAAGAGATAGGTGTGTTTGAAAACGGTGTTGAAACTTGGAAAATTGAATGGACATGGTTTGTGTGATTTGATGTGTGTTTTGTGAAAAGCACTTGGAGTGTGTGCGAACTAGGATTGGAGGTGGGATGGGTTCACTGGCTTGATCTGTTTTTGTTGTTTGTGTGAATCAATGGAAGGGAATTTGTCACAGGGAGGTATGATTCAAGGCGGTGGTAGTTCTTTTGGGGGTTTTGATTTGCCTGGATCAATGCGGGTTCATCGGCAAGCTCAGCATCCTCATTCCATGAATCAGCATCAAACACATCCTTGCCAAGGGTCTGGGGTGCATTCCTCAGTTCATGATGGTTTTCCCCTTACGATGGGAACCTTGCAGAACTGTGATCAGACAATGTCAATGACCGAGTTTAGTCAGGGAGATAGAAGCAAAAACTCACCAAGTGATGAAGATGAACCAAGTTTTGCTGAGGAAGGTGGTGATGGTCATCATGAAGCGGGTAGAGGGAAGAAGGGGTCGCCTTGGCAGCGGGTGAAGTGGACTGATAAGATGGTGAGGCTTTTGATAACAGCTGTTTCATACATAGGCGAGGATCTAACTTCTGAAGGTGGTGGTGGAAGGAGAAAATTTACAGTCCTACAGAAAAAGGGGAAGTGGAAATCTGTTTCTAAGGTCATGGCTGAAAGAGGTTATCATGTTTCACCTCAGCAGTGTGAGGATAAGTTCAATGATCTTAATAAAAGGTACAAAAAGCTTAATGATATGCTTGGGAGGGGAACTTCTTGTCAGGTTGTTGAAAATCCTGCTCTGTTGGATGTGATAGATTATCTTTCTGAGAAAGAAAAGGATGATGTTCGAAAAATACTGAGCTCAAGACACCTGTTCTATGAGGAGATGTGTTCTTACCATAATGGTAATAGATTGCATTTACCCCATGATCCTGCATTGCAACGGTCGCTGCAGCTGGCTCTCCGAAATAGAGATGATCATGATAATGATGATATCAGAAGGTCCTATCATGATGATCATGATGAAGATGATCCAGATGTGGAAACTGATGACCGTGATGACTTTGAAGAGAATTATGTTTCTCATGCAGATAGTAGAGGACTCTATGGGGCATCAGGGGGATCTTTGAAAAGATTAAGAGTAGGGCATGGGCAAGAAGATGCTGCTACTTTTGGGAGTGCTTTAAACAGTCAAGAGCACAACAAAAGTTCGTATCCTCCGATGGTCCAATCTGATGTGAATCAAGCTTTACCTGAAAATATGAGAGCAGCTTGGTTACAGAAGCAATGGGTTGAATCTCGTTCACTTCAGTTAGAGGAGCAGAAACTACAAATTCAGGTTGAGATGTTGGAGCTAGAGAAACAAAGATTCAAGTGGCAGAAGTTTAGTAAGAAAAAAGACCGGGAGTTGGAAAAGTTAAAGCTGGAGAATGAAAGAATGAAGCTTGAAAATGAACGTATTGCTTTAGAACTAAAGCGAAAGGAAATGGGAACTGGCTTTAACTAGGTTGGTCGTCTTGCATGCTTTTTTGCCAAGACATTACATGCATGATGCTCCTCTTTTTTCTTTTTCTTTTTTTTTTCCCTTCAGCTGTCTTTGATGAGCTGTTTATTTAGTTGAAACTATACATATTTTATGGGGAGACTTAGGAAAGAATAGATCCCCTAGTGCTGTTTAGATTTGGGAATTTGAAAAATCCAGTGGGTGGTGTACAGAGATTATTGATTAGGCTTTACTGAAGCTCTGTTGCCTGTACTTAAATACTGGGTGGCTGAAATCGCTTTAATATTTTATTCTGAAATATTAAATTTTGAATGTTATATGTTGTCGTCTGTTCTTTTGTGATCTTTATGGAGTAGCTGTATAATCTTGATATTCCAGTTATTTATTTTGTTAGAGAGACTCATTTAACTAAGAAGAAGAATACTTACGGAAAGGAGGATTTAAGATTAAAAAAAAAAAAGGAAAGATAAAATCACTTATCTGGTGGACTTAACCAGAAAAGGATCAATTGCTGGATCAAGATTCAGCCAAACCAAATATCTGGAAGGTTTATTCCTGGAGGAAGAAATAGGAGAGAGGAAAGGAAGTTGGTTAGGATGCTAAGTTTAATTGTTGAGTTTGTTAGAGGGGAACATTGTGGGATATCTGGGGGAGAGTGAGTGGTGTGAGGTAATTTTTTTAGAGAAGGAAAGCTTTTTAATTGAGGTGCCAGAGGCTCTGATTATGGTTTTTTTCTAGCTGTTTTGTCAACTAAGTAATAGGATAAAAGTGGTTTTCTTTCTTAATTTTTCTGTGTCCTATCAAATAGACATCAATGTAGTAAATCTACACAATCTGGCAGTATATATTTGAGGAAAAGGCATATGGAAGCAAAAGTCTTAAGTTTATGCCAAAGCAGCTGCTTATTTGAAGAGATGTCCCAAAAAATGCTATAGTTAAGCTCCACCCAACAAAGTGCAACATACTCATTGCCTGAATAGTTTGGCTTCTTTACTTCTGTCCATATGAATTTGGTTCAGCATGTAGTAGGATATACCTAACATTCTCCAAAAAGGCCTAACAATGATTTTTTGAATGCAGTAGGATGTAGGATAGTATAGTAAGTATTTTTGCATTTTCAAATCTTGAAATCGTTGATGTGCTGAACTATCATACTAGCCAGAAAGTTAATAGAAACATATATATTAGCTTAGCTTACGAGGAGCTTCATTTGGTTTTGTATGCTTATTTTCTCAATATTTGATTTTTTTTTTTTTGATAAAACAATCATTGAGATAGAAAATTACAGAGTTTGGGGGATAAGGAAATATCCCTTAACATATAAAAAACACTGAACACGGAAAATGAAAATAAAAAATTAACAAAGCTGCATAAACCCTCAACATATTTGTTAGGGAAACCTATAAATTATAATGGCCATGTGCTTTATATACCAATTAGAAGCATAATACGAAATCTTATCCCAAATCTACTTCTGTTTCATGGAACTATTGACTTCCCAGAATTAGGATTCAGATAATAGTAATAGAAGTAAACAGAATCAATTCTGGAAAAGGAAAGCCTCTTCTATAGAATTAATGCTTCTTAGAAATATAGTGAGAAATGAACAATCTCATTCTATTACTGAGAATCTGTAAATACAAAAAAGGCGCTGAGCTTCTGTACACAACAATAATTTATACAAGAGAAGCTACAGCTAGATATGATGATAGTTGTGTCAGTTATAAACTGTCACCAGTCCTGGTGACAGTTATAACTTACAGAGATTACAGATGTCAGTAAACAGAAAATAAAAAATATAGAAATACAGAAAATACAGAGGGCAGGGGCTTGGTGAGAACATCTACCCATTGATCTTGAGCAGGAGCATGAACTACGGGCAGCTGCTTGGAATTAACCTTTTCATTCATGAAGAAAAGATCAATTTCCATGTTTAGTTTTGGCTTGTAGCAAGGATTTTGAGACACACTGTACGTTGATTGTCACAAAAAATGACAGAGATAGGCTTGAGAGATAGGAAAGGCCAACCAACTCATGAAGGATGGTTGATACCCAAAGGAAGTAACACAGACTATGGTATTCAACTTCAGCAATGCTTTGAGCAACTTCAGCAATGCTTTGAGCAATAACTGTTTGTTTGCGGGACTGCCAGGAAATAGTGTTAGGGCCAAGGTAGACAACAACACCTAAAGTAGAACCTCTGTCATTTGGATCAGACGTCCAATACGCTAATTGGTGTCACAGAAAGCATGCAGAGCTAAAGGTAATAGTTTCCTTCAAGTAACGAAGAATTTGTTTAATAGTAACCTAATGACTCTTCAGGGAACATGACATGAATTGTTAAACCTTATAAACAGCGAAGCTAAGTCCAGGTCTGGTGATATTGATGTACTGCAGTGCACCAACCATAGTGTTGAAGGATCTTGAAGAAAATCAGAAACTTCTTTGGAGAGTTGTCTAGCAGTGAAACCAAGATGTAGAAGGGTATTCTTTAGTCTTTCAAAGCAGGCTTGTGGAGCCTGTTTAAGGCCATAAATAGCTTTGTTGAGTTGACAAATAGCTTTGTTAGGAGCCTCAAAAACCAGGGGGCTACATCATGTAAACCTCTCCCTCTAAAAGACCACAGAGAAAGGCATTGTTGATATCTGATTGTTGCAAAGACCAGCCAAGAGTTATGGCTAGGGTGAGTATAATCTGTATAGTAACATGCTTGATGACAAGATAAAACGTCTCAATAAAATCAAAACCATAATGTTGGTTGAATCCTTTAGCAACCAATCATGCCTTATATTTATTGAGGGACCCATTTGCAACATTGGGAGTCCTACCAGGTGGAAGAGAAACAAGAGTCCAGGTGTTATTTTGTTGAAGAAGAGCAAATTAAGCTTGCATAGCAGCAAGCCAATTAGAGTCTTGAAGGGCCTGCTTGACTGCACTGATTTGACATGAGTGAGAAGAGTTGGAGGCATGATAATACTAGACTTGGACCTGATTTGTATGGGGTGAATATTAGTGGATAACTGGCTTGCAGGTTGATTGGCACTAGAAGGTGGAGCAGGTGAGTTGGTAGTGGAACATGAAGTATAGGAAATATTAAGGGAAGGATAGGTTGATAGAGGAACAACATGTGGGACTGCTAGGGGTATGTTTGAAGTTAGTTGAGTGGGTGATGCTAAGTATGGGTTGGAGGAAAATAAGGTAGAGTATGGAAAGCGTGTTTCATTAAAAATAATATCCTTGGAGATGATTAACTTGCCATCAGAGATATGACACTTATATCCATTGTGTGCTGTTGAATATCCAAGAAAAAGACTCCCTTGTGAAAGAAAATCAAGTTTGTGTGCGGATAACATGAGTAGCCAAAGGCCCATAGAAAAGTATAATCTGGTATTTGTTTGAACAACAACTGGTAAGGAATGGTAAATTTCATTGATAAGGTAGGTACTGTTGTGACAAACACATCATTCCAAAATTTCAATGGCAAGGAGGTATGATATAGGAGAGTTAAGATGCACTAGAATTAGGATATTAGGTTTGCTGTATAAGATTGGTGGCTGGTGTGCCACTTGTTATAATTGGTTGAGACTGAAATTGAGAAGGTGCATGAGGATGAGAATAAGCTAATTCATGAACAAGCTGAGGAGCCTGGGACTATAAGTGTGGAGTTGAGGAGTGATTCATTCTACTAAGCCACATGATATTGGGTTCGATTGTTTGAATTTAAAAAGAAGTGTTTCTAAACAAGTACTTTTTAAAAAATCCAGTTCTTTATGAAACATATAGGAATTGCTTCTTAAAAAAGCTGAAACTATTTATTTAAAAAAATAAGTTTAGACAAACACATCAAAAAAGTATAAAAAAAAAACTTATTTTATTAAAAACAGTGCTTTTTTAAGAAATAAGTTTAAACAAACAGACTCATTTATATGGCACATTGTACTGACACCGATTAGGTTTTGGAAGTGGTAGTAGCAATATAAGCTGAGTCAAACTGATGATAGCACAAATTTAGAGAAAACTTGACATTGAAGAGAGGAATGTCCACCTCACCATCTTCCACAACCAAAATGGCCACCACCACCATGAAAAATACGCCCTTGATAAAATAACTGAGTTCTGAGAATAGAAAAAGGTGCCAAGCTTCTGTACACAACTGCTATTTATGCAATAGAAGCTGTAGCTAGATATGATGGCAGTCCTGTCAGTTATAACTGTCCTGGTGACGCTATAACTGACTTACAGAGATTACGGATGCCAGTAAACAGAAAATACAAAATATAGAAATACAGAAAATTAAGAGAATTAATATTCTCTTAGAATGCTTAATGAATAATGATTACAAGTACAGACTACAGAGGAAGACTGCTATCCAAGGGATTATCCCTTCCCTAGCTCCAAAGACCAGCTGTCACAATTTTTCTTTTTCAAAAACTCCCCTTAACACCCTATTCATCTCTTATTAATTATTAAGCCCAGTGATGTGTCAAACCACCTTAACTAATTTTCTGTCATTTTTTTACTCAATTGGTGTCACACCAATATATCTTTTCATATCAATCATTTTGTGTCTTTCTTGTGAGAGTACACATCCATTTTAACATTCTCACTTTAGTTACTCATTTTTTCTTTTCTCTTTAAAGCTCAACATTCACTACCATAGAGTATAGTTAGGTGTCTAGCAGTAAGGCAAACTTTTCCTTCAAGTTTGGTAGGATACTTTATGATCAAAACAACCTCAAATGATTTTCTCCATTTTAACCATCCAGCTAGTATCCTATGTGTGAAATCCTCGTTAATTTCCTCATTAGTTTATAATATTGATCCTAGATATTTGAACTCAGAAGCCCTTCTTGTGATCTTTTTCCATTTTACCTCTAATTCATTTTCTTGTTTCTTTCTAAATATGCAATGCATAAATTCTTTCTCCTACCTAACTACTAAGCAAAACTCCTTTGATTTCAAAGTCTGTTTCCAAAGCTCGAATTTAGAGTTAACCACTTACCTTAATGAAAATAGTTTTAAATGAATCTCTTTTCCAGAGTTGTTTAGCTTCATCAGCATTTGTTTGTCAACTTCTTGAAGGTGGGGAGTTTTATTTTCACATGATTCATATGGTAACATTGGAGTCGTGTCAACTTATGGTGAGTTTTCTTCCATGTTCAACTTCCATTTATCTCTCTTCCCGTTAAAATAGAGACTCTTGAAAATCTCCTTTGGAAGTCCAAACATTCCTCTAAACTCATGTCTCTTTGATTGAACAAAGGCTCAATCATTTATAATAATGAAATGTCTCATATTTATGAACCTAAAATTGCTTTATCTCCTACAGTTTTGTGATGCATTTCTAATACATTAGTGTAGAGTTTCTTACATGCTCATCGGTCAGTTGGATTTACAGTAGGAATCTTCACTGTGTCTTCTGGGTTGGATTTACAGTAGGAATCTTCACTGTGTCTTCTGGGTTGGATTTACAGTAGGAATCTTCACTGTGTCTTCTGGGTTGGATTTACAGTAGGAATCTTCACTGTGTCTTCTGGGTCCTCCTTGGGTTATGCAAATTGGTTTAGATGTAAAGGTTAGTTAAGGACCGAGTAGTTGGAGGACTAAGTTATATAGCATTGTACATTATATGTTGATCGTTGTGGTCTCTGTTTGGAGGAAAATGCTCAGATTATAAGGGGAGTCTCCATTCTAGGACCACTTGTGGTGAAAAGCTGTTTCCATGGCTTCTCTCAATTCTTATTCTCTGGTAACCTGTTGTTTTGCATTTTTTTTTGTTTGAAAGAATCTTTTTGGTAGATATGTGCAGAAATCGTAAAGGTCTTCTGTGTTATGAAACGGGACTGGATTTTCCCTTTTGAGCTATTTTTTTCTTGCCTTGTCACTATCTTGACCCTGGTTTTCAAGAGGATTTATAGATCCTCCAACTTTGAACTTATAAATGCAAATGAAAACCTTGATAATTTGCCATAGTTGAATCAATTATACATTTCCTAAGCTTTTGTAATGAGGTTATCATTGTTTGAAGGAAGTTCATGTATTGAGATTTTCAGAGGGCTGCTTATAGAAAAGTTGCAATTACTGTATAGTGTCTATATGTATTGAACAGTGGGGTTTCCACTTCCTTGAGGCTAACTTTTAAATATGGCTTGTTCGTGTACTTACTTTACTGGATTGTGTTAGACCCCCAATTAAGTCTGCAGGCAGTAGAAGAATAAGGAATAAGCCCAAATGTGACAGGCCCTGTCCAGTTAATGTGTAATTAGTTGCCCAGTACTGATTGTTAGAAACAGAAGTGATATAAAAAGGGGGAAAAGGGAATTAGGGAGAGGAGAATTATAACAGATTTGGGGAGAGACCAGGCTCTCAAAGTCCTGGGCATTGTACATTCCATTTTGTTTGTCATTTTCGTGATATTGCAGAATTATAGAAGTTCTAGATTTCTTTTCTTTTCTGTTTTTCCTTTACCCATTCCTTACAACTGGTTCCGTTGCCTGGAAACTCTCCACTGAGGGAGTTCTAAATGATTAGCACTTAGCACAAGAATGGATGCCTGCAAGGACATATTTGAACGCAGCTTGGAGGGTTTGATGAAATAAAATCAAGAAGATAGTTTGCAAGACTGGAGGGCCAAAGATGGGTTTGAAAGATGGAATCAAAAACAGGAGGAAAATCAAGAACAAGACAAGCCAAGAAGAATTGGGAGTTAGAAGAAAGTTGATTAAAGGGGATTGAAGCTACATTAGAAAGGTTATCACAGAAGCTGATCAAAGGGGATTGAAGCTACATTAGAAAGGTTATCACAGTAGCTGACTGCAATAAATTCTCAGACGGCATGAGTGAAAACAATGAACAACAAAGGAGTAACAATCATGAAGCAGTACAAGTGTCGATGATGGTTCTGTTCTAGGGCATAGAGTTAATGTCAGTCTTGGAGATGAAAAGTGGCGCAGACTTGAGTTTCCTTTATTTTCTAGTGAGGGTGCTTATGGGTGGGTCCTTCCTGTGAAAAGGTATTTCCAACTTAAAGTGGTTTTGGAGCATGAGAAATTGCATGTGGTGATGGTCGCATTGGAGGGAAAGGCCATTTCTTGGTTTTGTTAGTGGGGGTTTTGTAATCTAAACCCATCGTGGGAAGAATTTAAGACAGCTGTTGTTAGCAGGTTTCAGCCAGAAATGATGATGAAGACTTTTGAATTGGTACCAGAATTAAAGCAAACAAATTCGGTAGACGAATACAGAGAGCAGTTTGAGCTTTATGTTAACCCATTGCAAGGAACTGACTCAGTTCTTTATTAAAGAGATACTTTGTGCTGAAGTTCCATTTTTGTTCAGATACTGATGCAAAGGATCAAACTCTTGACCACTTTATCATAGAAGTGCTGGGATCTAATTGCAAGGCATGAAACTCTGATCTAATGTAAGGTTTATAAGGCCTTGGGTTCTATAACTACAATACCTAGCTTAGTGTGGCTTTTCCTAGGTTCTTATCAATTGTTAAGAGCTTTCTACCTTGGCTCTTAGCTGCAAACAAGTGATGCAAGTGGTGATGCCAACATAGCAACTTTTGCTTTTGAAGTAGTTGAAATGCACAGCCAGCTAATGTGGGCAACGGGGCTGTGGAACATGTTGGAATGTTAGACTAATTTTTCTGGTGTGATTCTCCATGTCATGAACTAACTTTCCAAAAGCTTAAGATTTTAAGATCTCAGCTGTAAACAAGTAAGAAAGCTAAACAGTGGAAAATGCAGCCTAACCAACACAAGCAGACCCAAGGACACAGCAACCCAAGTAGAAATAAAAGCTAGTAGATCTAATAAGGGCCGCTAAACATCTCTGTTGAAGTCTGGCAGAAAAAGCGGCGCAACGAAAATAAACTGGAGAATGCTCCTTCCAAATGAAGTAGCACAAGGCTGGAATTAAGTGCAGATGGATGGAAAAATATTAAGAATAGTACTTGGATTAACTAAAAAATAAAGAAAATTACTTTAGGAAAAGAAATTCTGTAATGTAGGCACTAAGTGGGAAACAATTTAAGATGGCTGGAGCGGGTTTGTTTTAGTAATGGTATATTATTGACAATATTGATTTTTGTGAAATGCTAGCAATACAGTTTTTTAACACTATCTTATACACTTCTTAATATTGTGTGAAATTCAGGTAGATGTGAAGATGTCACTACATAATAAACAAGAGCCCTTAAAAAGGGATGAGATCTACATCATTTGGTGAAACTCACCTAAATTTCACACAAGGTGTATGCTACTAGCCTTCTTATTTTTTTCTTATTGTAGGGAGGTTCCCTTATAGCAAGCAGTATTGATTGATAAAGATATAAACACCCTTTTTTATTTTGCTTTAAGATTTGGAGCAAACTGTCGTGTAACTTAATTTCGTTCTTTTCAATTGCTATGAAAGATACAGAATTTGATCCCTCATGAATGAGTGCTTTTAGATCTGGCAAATGTTTATCATTCTGCATTTTTTAGGTTCCAATCAATTAACGGATTTAACTTTTAAATTTGGGTTGAAAATCTGCAAATGAGTCAAATATGTCAATTGCCTACATTATAAAGGCCATGGTTGCCTAGAGTTTATTTTGGTAAGCATAAAAGATTTGTGTGGTGATGAGCTAATAACAGTTGGATCTTACTCATATTAAGAAAATCCAATACCACCTTCTGCATTAAAAGCCAACATGTGGGATACAGTACTTTATATTTCTACTTGATAACTTAGATTAGTTCCCAAATCTGATTATATCCGGCTCCATTTTCATCTATAAATGCTAGGCTTTTATTCATATTTATGTGGGGTGCGGTTGCTGCTATTGGTCATTTCAATTGTTAATGGAATGCCTTTTAAGCATAAGTTTGGTTTTCTCTTTATTGTTTGTTAACAACTGCAACGGCCTTCTACCTTGGATGCAATCTAAAATTCTTACTTTTCCTATAAGGAAATTTATCCATTGATACTAGAGGTTGTATCAGATTATCTTATCTTGTGCCAAGATATTATTGGGTCGTCTATCAAACATCCAGCACTTAACAAAATCATGCCGAGAAAAAAAAAATAAGGGAGATTTTTTCCCCCCTCATAGTATCCTCCTTCTTATGATATAATTTTATGCTAGATATGGTTTGACAATAAATATCAACACTTCTTTTAGTGAGAATTCGGACTTTGATTTGTCAGTCATGTTGTGAGAGACTAAGTGTGTTTAATTTCTTTTGGAAATTCACAAAATTACGTTCAACAAAAAAACAGAAAATATTTCTTGATTTGGTGTTTTAGAATGTTTTTTTTTTCAACGAAACTCAATGATAAAACAAATATGTTCTAACTCTTTTTGTTAGACTTAATCCCGGTAATAAGAGGGATTAGAGTGAAAAAAAAAAAAAGATTTTGTGAACTTCTTTTGACAAATTTGTATTCTAACATAGGAATCAATTGTGTCAAATACTCAAATCCTAAACTTTTCTCTTTTTTATTTTTTTAATCATTGTTTTGTAACCCATTGGTGTATAACTTTGACGTACCATATGTAATCAATATGCCCTTGCCTAAATGGCAGGTGGACAGGAAAAAAGGGAGGCAAATTCTGTTTTAAGGCATTCCT